CCAGCGAAGCCAGCGATAGCCATTAGAACTGGGCTGACCCAACGTGTCCGTAATGAAAGGTAGTGGGTTTCAGATGTCGACTCAGAATCGTGTTGTGCAGCCCACTAAACGAAGAAATGTGGCACCTTTCTAGACGATGGTATGGTTTTCTGAAATTATATTTTCTCTGTGGCATCATGAATTACTCGTGTTTGTTCAAATTAGTGAGCAGTTTTGGGTTGGAAACAAAAAGTCCATGTGACATTTAAATGGTCCATAAATGTCAAAGCTAAAATGAAAGTGTTGTAGAGATTTAAATGTAATTGTAGGTGTCAAATAGATGTCAGCCTTTAGCTGAGATTGGTAAGGATAGAAAAATAACTTCCTTTGTTGGGTTCAAACTTGAATTCTTCATGCAAGTTTTGTACTAAACAAGAGTCACACAAAGGTAGATGGTCTTTTTCCAATAAATAAGACCTACAATAAAGTGTGATGCTGTTCGTTATGTTGAAATTTGTGCCAAAAAATTGACTTTTATATTAATTAATCTCCAAGTTTTATGAGGCACCAGAGGTTTATGTTGTCGGCACATGACTTGTAAGATATGACATTTCTTTGGCACGGTAAATGAAATGACACAGTTTTATGTTTTCATCTCATTTTCAGCTAACACACCCTCCACACTGCATGAAGACAATCCCCAACCTACATGACCATTAGAATGTAGCTGGATAATGGCAAATTTGAAAAAACTCCTTCAGAGGTACAAATTGTACACTGATAGTACTTGACAAGTACGTTTGTGAAAGACTTTTTTCGGTCCGCTCCTATATACACTCGTCCGGGCACGACTCTTGGATTGCGTCAAAGTGTATCTATAGTATGTGTTGAAATATTGAGCCACGCTCAATGTATCCCATCTGTGCAAGGTTATTTGATCTTGTCAGAATTACAATCATAGCCTAGGCAGGAGTCCAATGCTCCAAACCCTCAGGGCTGTCACAATCAGTTACAAAAGGGGGCCAAAGTTAAAAACTTGGTTCAAAAACATGCATGTTAGACTGACTGGTAACTCTAAATTGTCCCTAGATGTGAGTGGGAGTGGGAATGGTTGTCTTGTTTGTCTCTATGTGGCCCGGTGATGGACTTGCAACCTATCCAGGGTGTATTACGCCTCTCGCACAGTGATTGCTGGACATGGGCACCAGTGACACTCAACAAGGAACAAGCAGATAAAGGTAATGGATGGATGGATGGTTCAACCCAAGGCTAATTTCAATCAATACATTAACTCAAAACAGAAACCTTCTCTTGCTTGCAAGTTTCTCAACAAGAGTTTGACTGGCCTCATTTGACGTTCTTGGTTGCTCTTTCCACCACAAAATCAAAAACTACTGAAAAAGGCTAATTGTTTTTGGACAGCTATCACGTGAGGTACAGTGCTATGTGTTGTCATCATTGTCTGACAAATTTAGTGCTCTGCATTTAAATGGACTGTACTTATATAGTGCCTTTCTATCTTATCAAGATACTCAAAGCTCTTTATAACACAATCTGTGCCCTCATTTACCCATTCATACAAATAATAATCAGAGCTTTATCACATTCATACACCGATGGGACACACATCAGAGGCAATGAGGGGTTCAGTGTCTTGCCCAGGGACATGAGCATGTGACTGCTGGTGGAATCGAACCCCCAACTCTTGCATTGGAGGACGACTGCTCTAACCACTCAGCCACAGCCACCCCATCACCATCACACGTGAGATACACCCAGGTGGAAAAGAGAGGTAGCTATGTAAGTCTTGCTCAAGGACACCACGGCATGTGGGCATGTGGGTTCAGTTTATAGTTTTTTTATGCGTGTACGTGTTAGTGTACAGCACTTTGGCCAACGGTGTTGATTTAAAGTGCTTTATAAATAAAGTTGTATTGTATTGTATTGGCAGCACGGTGGCACAACTGGTAGAGCTGCTGCCTGTCAGCGAGCAGGTCCCTGGTTCAAATCCCGGTCCGGGGGCCTTTCTGGGTGGAGTTTGCATGTTCTCTCCGTGCATGCGTGGGTTTTCTCCAGGTACTCCGGTTTCCTCCCACAGACCAAAAACATGCATGTTAGGCTGATTGGTAACTCTAAATTGTCCCTAGGTGTGAATGAGAGAGTGAATGGTTGTTTGCCTCGTTTGTCTCTTTTGTGGCCCTGTGATGGACCGGAGACCCGTCCAGGGTGTACCCCGCCCCTCGCACAGTGATTGCTGGACATGGGCACCGGCGACCCCCGTGACCCAAAATGGAAGAAGCGGGTAAAAGATAATGGATGGATGGATGGATGGATTGTATTGTATGGCGGGGAGTTGAGCCTGCGACTTTCTGGTCCCAGGTCAGCTGCCCTACCTCTACACCATCTCAGCCCAAAGTCAACACTAAATAAAATATGCTCATTTTTTAAAGCAAAATGCAAGACGATAAAAATTTCTTCCATTTAGAACGTCATCTTGGGGGCCAGGGCCACGTTTGGCCCTCGGGTCTTACGTTTGACAAATGTGAAGCTATCACTTCATGCTTTTAAGACATCTTCCCTTCTTGCAGAGTATAAATCCAGCTTAATTCGTTTGGAAAACCTTAATTCATTAAAAACAATACTATTTTGGGGTCCTGTGAACCTTGGGGCCCCGGGCACCAGCCCGCATCAGCCCTTAGAGAAAGTCCGGCCCTGCACCTGAACCACTCAGAGAAAGAAGCGGGTGAAACAATAACAGTCACGTTAAACAGACTCGGTGCCAGTAAGTGAAACAAGGACCGGTCAATTATTACCCACCCTGTCCTGTAAATCCTCCATCTTCAACTGAACGCCCGAGTGCTCGTCCACGTGCGTCGGGCTCGCGCCGGCGCTGTTTTAAAAAGGGTCGTCCCAGCACGCGCTCAGTGATTCAGCCGCTGACTGTCAGAGCTGGAGGAATGAGGCAGGAGCTGCCGCGGACCTGTCACTTCGGTAACTTTCTCCTCCGTCGCTTTTCGTCCGAGGAGCCGACGAGTCGAAGAGACATTCGGCGGCGCTCACCGGTTCAATTCCAACCAGAAAAGTTGGAGCAGGTCTCCACCTGCCCGGTTTGCTCACCGTGTTTTAAACACCTGGTGTGGACGGGAGCATCGTTTGCATGAAACTTCGGCCAGGTGAGCCTACAGCACAGACTGCGAACACTTGGACGTCTTTTAGTCATTATTTTCACGATAAGCTTCTTATTTTCAGTAAGTTTTGAACGCAACTCTTCGACCGCAGTTGTTCGGGTCGCGCCGAATGTCGTTATAAATATCAGCGATTTAAGGTTATTTTGCTCCTGCTGCAGCTGAGCTTCACAATTCTTGTTTTTTATGTGTTGTGATTTAATCTTAGATAATGTGAGGTAATTCGGCTTGGAAACCGAAGCAATAACCTCTCCATAAATTGGCTTAAAACGTCATTTAAAATCGTACTTGTGTTTATTTAAGAATGGGTGCAGCAAGACCACAAGAACATGGATTTAAAGTCTTGATATTTTCTTAAATTTTAGTGCATGCTTTTGTTGTCCTAAATACAAATGTAATGTTTTCGTCATAAGTTTAGTAGATTTGGACAAGCCAATGTTTGTAAAAGTCAAAGGGTTTTCAAACTTGTACATCTAATAATGCTCACCTGGAACTTTTTTTATTTTAAGAAACCTCACCATTAATCTGTGTGTGTGAACATTTATTGCATTCTCTATGCATCTTTCACGATCTTAACGCAACTGTGCAGATTCATGCATTTTCCCCAACTTGTGCCTTTTTTTTTTTTTTTAAATGAATTTTGCCATCGCTCTTGACAGGATCTGCAGATGAAAGTAGGCACAGGATGTTGTCGTGGAATCACAAATGTTTCCTTTGACTGTTGATTGATGTGTACCTGTGTGCACGGGGACAGGTGTTTTTGTTTTGTGCGAGTACTTTTCCATGTTTTCGTCGCTCACCTGCAACAGTATACATACAGGTTTTGTGGTCATTGTGGGGCTGGGGGTCAGCTTGCATCTCTTTCTGTGACGTGACACCATCTTAAAAGCATGCCATTGTTTATGGGAGAAATGTTTAGGGGAGGAGGTGGTAGTGGGACGGGGGCGGGGGGGTGCAAAGCTGCTTCCTGCATAGGGGTTTGCTAACAATGGTCTCTGGTTCAGAAATGTCGGTGTTTCTCTCCCTGATGCTCGACTCTGAGGAGGGAATGTAGGATGTTTGAAAGAATGGCCAAGAAGAAAGGTTTTTTTTGGTGGGGGGGTGGGGGGGATCAGGACAATGGGAGTCCATACGTTGTTACATAATGCTGGACTTGAAGTCTCTGATGGCTCCATGTTAACCTGTTCAAGTAACTTTTTAATATGGCACATCTCCAGTCCCATCCAGAGTCGAACCAGCCTGTCGGTAAATATTTAAAGGCTCCCGTTTGTGTCTGATAAATATTTGACTCTAGAGGCGTCAAATCTGTAGACGGTCCGGTTCCGTAGTCGAAATACAAGTTGTGCTGACTGGCATTTTGTTCGAGGAAGTAACGTGACGGTGCAGAAGTTATATTAATGTTAGGATGATGGTATTCTGTGAAAAAGTCTATGTACCTTCTGTTAATTGGCTTTTCTTCCAACTTATTGAACTCCGCTTCGCCGCCTCCCGTCTGTGCTTAATTTGAGCCGGATCCTGCCAGAACAGGATCCGTGAACTCTTTATTTTGACAGGATGCGTTCCGCTAACCGTTTGCGTGGATCCGGTGAATCTCAGGCTTACTAATAATATAGTTACGAACAAACATGACTGCCGTGAACAGATACAACCTGTATTGGATATGTAAACTGAAAATAATTACGTAAACACTCATTTTAAACACAACAATTACTGGCGTACGATCTGCCTCTTCAAGTAGCATTTCTGCTTCTAGCCTTGAAAAGGTTCAGTTTACAAATTAAGCCCCGCCTTCTGTACTGAGGTGAATCTAACGACGCTCTCCTCTCGTTTCAGATAAAGATAGTGGACGCAGCCACGCTCCGCATACGAGGAGGTGGATGGTTGGGAAAGGCTCCGAGGAGGACCAGCTCAAGTCGAGCGCTTGCACTTCAGCCGAACCTTCGTCCAAACACGGCCTGAAGGACGCCATGTCCCTCGGAAGTTTCCACCTCATGCAGACCCTCAAGAACTCTCCGGCTGCCTTTCGGCGCCACTTCCGCCGCGACCGGACGGAGTCGCTCTCCCACGGCGACCCTCTGTTTAAAGTCAACTACCTGGGCACCGTGAAGATCTTCTCTCTGGATCGAGAGCAGGCGCAGGACGCCATTACGCACCTGCTGGAAGGCGTGGCGAACAAGAAGCCGAGCAAGGATCACGCTCTAGTGGTGCGCCCGCGGTACGTGGAGGTCAAGGAGCTGAGCACCGGTCGGCAGCTGACCAAGACATACCTGCAGGACATCGCGTACTGCGCCGCGGACGCCAACAGGCCCAACGTGTTCCTGTACATCTGCAAGCATCAGGGCCAGCAGCTGCAGTGTCGGGTGTTCTGGTGCAGCCGGGCCGAGCGGGCGAGAGACATGACGGCCTGTCTGGCGGACTCCTTCCAGCGAGCGCTGAGCGACTGGCAGGACGGCTCGGCCACGCTGACGCCGGGCGAAGCAAAACGCACCGAGTCGTCGTCCAACTCGCCGTCCATCGCAAAGAGCTCCACGCTGCCGGTCGGCTTGGGAAAAGGTGAGCTTCCCTCACAGCCGACCAAAGTACTCTCTCTCTTCTGAGTCGCTCGCACTCGAGCTCTCATCACTGACGGTGACTTTCCTCCTCAGTTCGCTGGAAGAGACGTACCTCTGCGTCCCGGAGCCCGTTCAGAGCCCTGCGGAGAGGGTCCGCCTCCGACAGCTGGAGCTGAACTCAGAACAAGGGTCCGCGTTCAACTGACTCCGCCTTCAAGGGCGGAGCTACTACAGATGGCAGGACTCGAGTGAAAATAAGGCCATATTTGGACGTTTCCTGAGCGCGATGACGTAATTGGCGAGGGTTTGGATGTGAGCGTTATCGTCAGAGCGCTTCATCCACGATGAAGATGAGCGGCTGATTGTCCGTGCCTTTTGGTTTTTGAGGGTTCTGAAGCGACAGAAATCTTGATCTGTCGGCGTGACGGGCGGGAAAAGACAATTTTTTTTTTAAAAGGTTTATTTAACTGACAGACTCAACAGGTCGGGATGTTTTTACGTTTTTTTTAAACACCCTGTTTGGTAAAAACTGACGCATCCAATGGACTCCGAGCACTTTTTCTACTCCTGCAATCACAACTCGCCATTGGGAGGTTTGCTGCTATAAAAACGTGCGGCAGGTTTGGCACCTGTCGTAACGAAACCGAACACGATGCAGGAAGGGGCCGTGGAGTCCACGCTGAAATATTTTTCACATTTACGTGGAGAAAGTCCCACAATCATGGCTCCACAGTGGGCACATTGTGTTCTCACGTGGGGCTCCTGTGAGGAATGTGCAGACGTGCACCTGCATTCCAAAACTCTGAAATCGGAGATCAGGAAATTTCTTAAAAAAAAAAAAAAAAAAAAACTCAATTTCTTCATGTCCAGCCATGACTTTGCATTTTGAGCAGCCTCGTCGGTAAAAGCTCCATTTTAAAATTTTATCTTTTATTTATTTATTTTTTTAAAACTTGCCACAGGTGTCCGAACCGATTCAACCTGTTTATACTGTTAGTCGGCTGTAGGTGTTGTGCTGCAGAACGTACCCTCGTGATTTGTGGATTTACAGATACGGTTGAGGATCAGTGGTACGCCCCGAGGCTGCCGTTATAACGTCTCATTTTGTCAAATTAAGCTAATTTTTTTTGGGACAAAAGTGGCACTTTTTTCAGAATATTTTATTTTATTTTTATTTTTTATCCTATCTTACAAAAGGCACAACTTTTTTTTCTCAAAGGGACAACCATACCTGCTTCCACGTGTATTTTTATCAGTGTTGTTTTCGTCATTGTACATATTCATCTAAATATGTATTTTATGGGATATTAAAAGCTTTTCTACATGTCATGTGTGCGTGGACTCATTTGACCAAATATGTAAGCGGTTGTACCTTCAACCCTGATTTATGATTAAAAACGCTCGAGTTTTAAATTTATATTTGGCCTGAAAGTAAACAAGTCCTGCTTTAGACGGGTCGGGGGAGAAGACGGTGGCTGAAGGGTGAAAGGGACTCGAAGAGGTCCTGGGACTTTTTTAGTCTGGCTTTTTTTTTTTTTTTTTTCTCCACAGTTGCTTTTCTAGTTTGTGTGTACTATAAAAACACACATTTCTATCAATATTTGACTCAAAACACTGCAGAAGATGCATAAACAAGTTTTTTACTGTGAACAAAATTCAACAAGAAGCAGAAAAAAATAACAAAATATCTCATTTTAATCTATTTTCTTCTTGTTTTTATGGGTTTCATTAAGCTTCATTTAAAGATTTAGTTCAGATTATTTGAAAGAGGGTTCTGTGCAAAGATGAGCAGTAAATATCTCACTTGTTGCAGATGGCTCAGATCAACCTCCTTTTGGAGAAATTGTTTCCTTCTGATGAGTGACGACCCACCAGCTAGTCTGAACGATGCCAAACTGTGTTGCTGTGATCGTAAAACTCAGTTTTCAAATGTTTTTACAGCGGTTCATATTTTATAAACTTTTGCATTACATTTTAACATTATAGTGCTTCAAAAGCAGGGCTTAAATTGAGCCGGATCCTGCCAGAACAGGATCCGGGAACTCTCTAATTTTGACAGGGTGCGATCCGGTAACCGTTTGCTTGGGTCCAGTAACTCTCAGGCTTACTAATAAAGTTATGAACAAATATGACCGCCTTGAACAAAAAACTTATGTTGGAAATGTAAACTGAAAATAATTACATAAACACTCATTTTAAACACAACAGTCACCTACGAGCTGTTGTGTTTAAAACGAGTGTTTATGTAATTATTTTCAATTCAGTTTATATAAATTGAATTGTAATTAATTACATAAACACTCATTTTAAACACAACAGCCACCTACAAGCTGCCTCTTCAAGTAGCATTTCCACTCCGCCCCTAAAAGAGTGGTGGGTAAGTGCCGAGCTAATCAGGCAAGTCATACCGGGGCAGGAGCCCACAGGCAGCAGCAATGAACAGACGGAGGAGGCGCCTGGAGGTTTCACATGTGGAGTCGGACAACAGGACAATGAATTCAGCGAAGAAGAGTCGGGCTCAGTTCCATCAAGTAAGGAGGGGGTGGGATAGGATGCTTGACAGAAGCGGAATGTTAATAAATGTAGGAAAACATAGATGTTTAACAACACATTAAAATACATCAAAATGCAGGAAATGACATCTACTTTATTCAAAATTTTCTGGGGGAGGACCTCCCCCCCCCCCCTCCCCATTTGTAGGAACCTTCTGTTAACCTGGTTTATTTATTAAACTCGTTTTTTAAGTTGTAATGACAATTTTAGTGATCTTATTCCATTTTAATTTTGCAGTCTTGCCTTCAGTTGGGCTTCTTGTTGCCAACTGTGCTTTCTACCCAATTTACGAAAGGTTAGCTAAAGTAGCATTTGAACCGGTACAAAACATTTGAGTTGTTTTAAGAAGTTCGCAATGGTCCTGACCCATTAGCTCGTCAATCTGGTCAGAATTAAACAATTTCTTCCAACCGAGGCCGTTCAAACAGTTGTCTACAACAGGTAAGATATTAACCACTCACAACCTTTCCACAGATCCTGAACTATTGCTTTGAGGGGACTTCATCTTTAAGTGTCCCGTTTTGTTGGGCTCCTTCGGAGTCGCTGGAACTCTAGCATCGATTGGACGTGGAGTCGCCTCAGAGGTTTCACCTCCTCCACCACTGCAACGAGAAAAACATTCATTCATACCCGACAAACCGCAGCTAAGTGTTGCCAAACGTCACTCGTCGCCTTGGAAATTTAGCGTATTGATTTAAAAAAACCTTTATCGTAGTGCAACTCGTCCCGGTTCCCGTACACCACATACGTCTCCAGGAAGTTGAGGAGCGCTCCCGTGGCGAGGAGGCGTTCTGGCAGGGGAAGGTTTTGGACGTAGCGCATGTCCAAGGCGAAGGGGTTGGAAGGAGAGGGAACGGTGCACAGGGTCACCAGCTCGCTCACGACATCCCAGGTGCGAACATCTGGCGGAAGAAGAAACGCTTTTCTTACAAAAGTCCCGTATTTCACTCGACTTCATCTAATCTGCAACGAGACAGTAATCTACCAGATGGTAATCTACCAGACAGTAATCTACCAGACAGTAATCTACCAGACAGTAATCTACCAGACAGTAATCTACCAGATGGTAATCTACCAGACAGTAATCTACCAGACAGTAATCTACCAGACAGTGATCGCGGTGACACTGCTAAAGAAGAAATACTGAGTATTGTGACAAATCTCGCAGATAAAAGACCAAAAGTCTGGATGGACACGGACATGATGTTTGTAAAGGATATAATGAGTTATGTTATTGAACCATTGACGTGTAATTATCATTTTCAACAGGAAAATTTCCAGAAACTATGAAAATAACAAATAGTTCCTCTTTATAAGAATGGTGAGAAATGTGTGTTCTCTAATTACAGACCAATATCCTTGTTGCCACAGTGTTCAAAAATATTAGAGATATTATTTGTAACCAGATTAGATCGATTCAAAGATAAACAGAATATTTTACGTAATAGTCAATATGGGTTTAGAGCAAACGATTCAACATCAATGGCTCTCATGGAACTAATAGAAGAGATAAATGTTTTTGATCAAAAATAGTATTGTGTTTGCGTTTTTGTTGATTTTAAAAAGACCTTCGACACTATTGACCACACCATTCTCCTTGAAAAACTGAATAAATATGGCATTAGAGGATTAGTGCTACAGTGGGTATCCGGTTATTTGAATAATAGGAGACAGTTTGTACAGGTAAACAATGTAAGATCTGAATTTTGTGTTAATGGATATGGAGTCCCTCAAGGCTCTGTGTTGGGACCAAAGTTGTTTATTTTGTATGTGAATGATCTGGTTGATGTGTCAGGGCTTTTGAAGTGTGTTTTATTTGCAGATGATACCACATTTATTTGTTTGGGTGAAGATATTAAACGGTGGGATGTTAGAGATGATACAGGCAGAATTCGTAAAAATACAAACTTGGTTCCAACTTAGTAAGTTATCATTAAATTTGGAAAAAACAAACTACATGATATTTAGTACTGGTAATAAAAATAAAATGATCTAAGCCTCATTTAAAATTGACAGTATTGATATTCATGGAGTTAATTAAATAAAATTTTAGGGTGTCGTTATTGATGACATGGAAATCTCATGTAAATTACTTAAGAATAAAAATAGCAACATCAATTGCATTACGGAATAAAGTAAAAGAGTTTTTGAATGACAAAGCTTTGTATATATTGTATAATGTAATGATTGTTTCATATGTATTGAAGTTTGGGGAAAAGCATGCAAAACAATTACAAATCCTATTTTAATTTTACAAAAAAGTGCTATAAGAATTATTAGTAGGAAGTGCTATGGTCACCCAACAAATATATTAACTCAGCAGTTGAAATTATTCAAATTTTATGATTTGGTTGAATATTTTATTTTGCAAGTCGTGTATGAAGATAATAAAAAATATTACCCACAAAAGTTCAATTAAAAATTGTTAAAAAAGAGAGTCATTATAACCTTAAAGGGAATGGAGATATTTGTCAAACCTCCATTTAGAACTAATCTGAAGGAGCTGTGTTGTAATTCAGGGATTAAGATTATGGAATTGCCTTGATATCACCATAAAAATTTCTAAAACAATTTATATGTTTAAAAAGATGATTAAGTGAAAATCGTTAGGAAAGTATGATACCATGTGAAAGATGCCTGATGTTTTTTTTTTGTTTTCGCTTTGGGGATTGTTCAAACCTGAGTTGTTTATTTTATTTATTTATTTTAAAATAAGGCGCAGATATTATAAGAATTTTCTTCTTTCTGCACACTTTTCATTCAATGTTTTTATTTTTTAATTTTTGATGTATTTGTTTTGTTTCTGCTGTTTCTTTTAAATGAATGAATAAATAATTACTAATAAACTACAAACATGTCTGAGCTCAGAGGAATTGGTGCGATCATTAATTCCGCCCACAGAAACGGTAGCTCCGCTCTTTGTTTCCGTACTTCGTGTCGGCCAGTCTGTGACGGACTTCAGCTTCATCGGCGTGTCTTTGACCATCGAATCGGTGCCGCCGATGTTGACCAGGCGCTCGTGGTTGGAGCGGATCCAGGCGTAAGGGCGCCCGTACTTCACGTAACCAGCCAATAAAAACAGAGTGCAGTTCACCTCCTGTGGAAGGGGACGCGAGTCTGAGTTAGGATCTGATGGGTTCTGGACCGTGAACTGGTCCTGGTGGTTCCTGGGTGTACTCACAGGTACTGCCATCTCCCTCTCGCTGGGAGAAGCTGGCAGGAGGTGCTCCTCGCCGCTGGGCTCCCTGTCAACACAAATAAGAGATTCAATACTGTGTTTTAAATCAGGGCGAACAATAATTAAAATGCCAGTCTGTTAGCAAAATATCTCACGAGCCAGCAAATGGATTACACTGAAAGCCTCAGAAAGTAATCGTTAGATGCACGACTACAACCGATTAGGTTTTGTAGTCAACTCAATTCAAGATGGCCGCCACAGCTTATCAACTGTAGCAAACACAAAATAGCATATAGCTCGGCAAAATTAGCAGATATTAAGCTGAAACTTGGTGTGGTAGTAGCTGTGAGTCATCCCTATCTCATGTCCTGAGTGCTAAAAGATCACATGAGAGCTTTGTTTAAAACCTTAAAATAGTTGTCGTCTGTCTGTTAGCAAAATATCTCATGAACTACAGGATGGATATAAATAAAACTCTCAGAAACTATTCATTGGATGAACAACTACAACTGATTAACTTTTGTAGTCAACACAATTGAAGATGGCCGCCACAGCTAAATAACCTTAGCAAACACAAAAATGACTATAACTCAGTCATTGTTACAGATATTGAGCTGAGATTTGACGCTGTAGTAGCTGAGAGTCATCCACAGCAGATACTCCAAGGACTAACAGATCGTGCAGAATCCTTGTTTCATATTTTGGACGTTTCAAGGTTAAGGGTGACAATTCTTCAAAGAATGCTCAGTTTTATTTGTATATTTTGACGAACGAAGCTCAGTTTGCGTCAGAGTCTAAATTAAATCAGAGTTCGAGGTAAATCTGTTCTGCTCGTTTCTAAATTGTATTTTTCATGACACACTTGAAACAAAGAAGTATGAGCTGTGCTTCCGTTCGTCTGTATTTTTATGCTGCCAGCTTATTCACAAAGTTTCTTCATTTGGGCTTTAAAGCTGATCTTGTGCAGTTTAGCACAAAACCGAGCGCCACCTACTGCCTGCTTTGACAAACAATATACTGTATAGGGCTCTGTAGGTAATAGTTATGGAAACATGCATGTGTTTGTGTTTTTCTTTCTGCTTTCAGAAAATTTGGTAGAAAATTACACATTCATGTGGAAACTCAGTGCACAAAAAAGCAGAAAACTAGATTTTGTATGACAGCGGGAGGCCTGAGTTTTAGTTCATAATCACTACTAGTGGTTCCCAACACTGGTCCTTGAGGAACGCCGTCCTGCGTGTTTTACTTGTTTCCCTGCTCCAACACACCTGATTCAGTGATGTGATTGCTTCGCCAAGTTCTGCAGAAGCCTGTTAATCACCCATTCATTTAAATCAGGTGTGTCAAAGCAGTGAAACAAAACATGCAGGATGGCGTTCCTCAAGGACCACAGCTGGGAACCACTGTTTTAGACACATCTACTACAGTATTTTAAGCACGCGGTACGCCGATGTCCTCTGTCGCTGAAGGATTTGAGTAGTGAATGTTTGTAGTTTTTGAGCTGAGTGTTTTTGTGGACTAGAACTGAGCAGAGAATGCACATAGTGTTTTTTGGGGTAAGATAGTCAAGTGGTGTAGGAGTTACACTGTGAAGAACAGAAGTAGATGTTTTTTTTCTTGTATGATGGATCATGGCGAGCGGAGAAAACAATTTTATCCACTGCTGAGGGCAATGGCGGAGCCAGAGGGTGGCCAATGGGGGCCTTGGCCGCCATAGCTCAATCTTTGTACATCCAAATTAATTAAGGAAAATATACTTTTAAGCACTTCTGGCCTAAACACAATCAGAATCACTAACTTGTGTTTTAGTATACATTTATTTATTTATTAATACTATTCCGAAATGTCTGTAGCCTTCATGCTCTCCAGGTTGTGCAGCTTCTAGCAGCATATGTTCAAATAGAGCTTTTATCCAATCACATTTCGACCATCGTCTGTTGCTAGGGTCAACGAGATCTGCCTCGAGACCTTCAGAATCAACAGTGCGCTGCTTTTAAGCAGTATAAAAATTAGAAAACATAGTTTCTTCAAATGACTGGAGTGGCTGGTTTACCATTATTGGTGCATTTTGATGTGGTAACTTTG